GGTTCAGCTCTGCGTTCCCTTAAGCTGTGCGCAAGGCACGTGAGACTTCTTACGAGCACAGATCCTCTTTGGCTTCTCTCTGCCCGCACCCTGCGTCTGAAACGCTCTCTGGATCCCCTGTGTCCCATTGCAGCCTCTTCTAAGCCGGTTAGGAAACTCCCTGTTATCCGGTTCCCTCCAAAGATGGTTCCAGACCGCTGTCAATCCTCGGTCTCTGTGGTTCATCCAGAGGAGGTGTGTTGATGCAAAGGGGAAGGAGGGAAGGCGTTTGGGACATCTTTCTCTTTTGGTGTATGTACTCTAGTTCTGATGCCGTTTAATACCTCTTTTTTTGTTGTTTCCTTTGTACAGGCAGTGGCTTTCAAGTAGGTGGGTTTTGAAATTAAAAGTACTCGAACAGGGAAGCAGCCCTGGAAACAATCTGCGTGAAGGTGGGAGGCAGCACTCTGTTAGAAAATCAAACAGCCCTTAAGACTGGAAGGGAGGCATTTGACAGCGTACGTGGTTTAGCCTTCCTTCATTCAGAGGTAAACCTGCCGTTGCCGGGGCAAGGCTAACCCTCTCTCCTGAGGCTGACAACACTGGCTTCTTAAAGCCTAGCTTGGCCTTCCCCTGGGGCAAGCTGTTTGTTTTCGGAGTGCACCAGCGTGCAAAAGATCATCAGAGCAGGTCAGGCTCGCGCTGAAATACCCCGCGTCCGTCAGCGGTCGGCTCCCGCGCGGAGGGAAGGCTCGGCTCCGGGATCGCCACCCTGCGTGGCCTTTGGTGGGGCGGCGAGGAGCGTGCCGTACCGCAGAGCGCGCGGCAGCAGCACCACGGAGACAGCTCCGTCTAACGCTGTATCTCCGTGCATCCTTGGCACGGGAAGGCCGGAGGTCCCTGCCAGGAACAAGATCCTTCTCTCGGCCTCCGGGAGCTTCTTCCCCTGCGTCGAGCTGCTGCTTGACCCTCTGACTCTTAAACTGCGCATCCCCAGCTTATGGGTGAGGTGAGGCTTCGGGACGTCATCGGTTGTTGTCCCCTCCGCCTCTCCCACTCGCTTCGGTGCCCGCTGGCCAGAGCCGCAGCAGCTTCTTCTCCTGTGTTGCCCCGCTCTGTCTCGGGCAGGCACCGCGAAATGTGCTTGGCTGCACCATCTGCGCTGTTACGCCTGGGCGAGTTTTTGGCCTCCTCGGTGGTTAACAGAAATAGATTTTAATTAAAAGCTCATTATCGAGTTGTCGTGTAGCATTAGTAAATAAAAATAACTTTTACAGCCCTGTCTTGTGGCTCAGTAAGTGGCAATTGAAAGTATTTGACATCACTTTATTTAAAAAAAAAATATTGCATATTTGATTCCCTGTTTGTTCCAAATGGGCTTTAAATCCAAATAAACGGTTGTCTGTGGCACTCCTGTTATCGTTCAAGTCCAGGAGGAGAAATAAATGTGATCTGCAGTCTCAAAGTTATCTCCGTTTCAGCTGTAAACTGTTGTGGGTGGTTTGTTTGGGCACCTCCTGGTGGGATGAGGAACAGGTACAGCCTACCCATTTATTGTTTCCCAGGTGGTTAGTGGAGGGATGCCCTGCTCAGCCCTTGCCCTCTCCCTTCTGCCATCTCCCTCCCCCTTTCAGTGCGGAGGTGTCGCATCCTCTTATTCAAGCTTGCTTCTAAATGGGCATACCGTCACCCGGTGGAAGCTGAGCATTGCTTCTGGGGCGCGGTCCCCTTTTCTGCCCGGTCTTTTAGACTGTCACGCCACCGCAGCAGGGGCTCTGCGCTGTCTTCGCCTCTTTGGCACAGAACTAACAGCTACTGAAATGATCTGCGAAGGTGAAAAGCCATTTTCTGCATTATTTAAGGGGGAATTGGTGCCGTAAAATATTTTCTAGATGTTAGTAATTTCTTCAAGGTCATGCTTTAACCCAGTCCCGTGCCTCCCGCAAAGCGGTTGCGTTGTGTGGGGTACGGAGGGACTGTTGCGGCGGGTTTGCTCTGGGAGGCAGCGTGCCCGGGCTAAGCCGGTGTCCTCCAGTCACTTGTTTGTGCCCTTCCTCCCCAGCCTGACCCCAGGGATGGCTGAAGCTCCGGTGCTTTGCGTTTGTGACAACGAGGAGGCGAGATCTCCGTCCACCGTCCCCAGACAGAGCCGGGTTCCGTCCCCCGGAGTTTGGGCGCCTCCCTGTTGTCCGAGGAGAGCCTCTCACGTGAGGAACCTTAATCTTAAACGGTTAAAAAATGTCCTTTTCTTCCCCCCCCCCGCCCTTTTCCACGTAGCTGGCGTAAATTCAATTTGACATCGTTGGAAGAAAAGCATCAGCCTATGCCAGTGGGTTTTGGGAATCGCTTTTCTCTGTAGACCCCCCTGCTCAACCCTCTCCGCGCAGGACGCTTGCACCCTCTTGTGCCCATCTTCTGTAGCGCTTGGCCTCCCTCCTTGTCACCCCATGAGGAGGGGATCGCATAACCCTTCTGCTCGTTTTTGCGGCTGGTTTATCGACTCGTTAGCTAAGGAGCCGTTGTGAAACTTGACAGAAAGGCTGCGCGCCGAAATAAATTGTCCAGTTGCCTGCTAGTTGGAAATGACTCTTGGTGCGGGTTAATAAATAATGCAAACCCTGTTAATAAATGCCAGATGCGATGTCTCCGCTGGAGAAAAAGATGATGCCAATAACCCGTACTGGAAGTACTCTATTCTAGCCGCTGGCTGCTGAGTTTTAAGTGTTTAGTGCTGTTTACTTAAAAAGCTCTGCTGATAAATGGCGAGCGCTCTGTACTTAGTAAAGAGCGTAAATTCCAGCTCTGCAGAATAACAGCCTTGCAGCGCTTACCCTGTTTGTAAAGCAGTTCGTCGATGCATTCCTTCAGCGACTCGCCGAATATATCTAACAACCCGTGTTGCCATCGTGCTAATGGGAGAAAGCAAAGCTGCGAGTGCAAGAGGTGACGCCTGCAGCTGATGGAGGACGCTGAAGCGACGCGGTCGCATCGGCTCCGTCCTGCGGGTCAGGTTAAGGTTATCGCCATGCAGCTTTTTATTGGGGGATTGGGCTTTATTATAGCATCGCGCCAGCCGCTCTGGCGTGTGGCCGAGAGGGGATTTTTCTCCTTTAAGCCTCTTTGTTTTGTTTTCAGGAGCTCGTAATGCCTTGCAAAATCGACTTTGTGCTTCAGGTGTCACTTCAGTGCAGAGGAGGGGAACGGCGTGAGGGCGGAGGACGGGATGGGGAGCTGCCAGCCCGTCCTGGCTCCCCCCCAGGCGCTCTGCCCAGCCTTGGACAGCAGCTCTCCCCATCTCCCCGTGCCTGGGGGGCGTCTTTTTTTGTGTTCTGTGGCCAGGGAATGTGGCAGTTAATGATACGAGGCCTATCAAGTAAGGGCGAGGAGGGCTGAGGTCCCGAACGTCTGTAAAACAGTTGGAGTTCAGCTGTCAAAAGATGCCGCTTGAATGCAGATTGTTATTTTAAGTACCGAGGTGTGGAGTGAAATCATGTATGTTGAAATAAACGTGGCTGCTGTTCCATTTATATATTTAACGAAGCTAATTCAGCACCGTCGGGGAGGATGTCTGTGCGATGTTACGGTTGGAGACTTTAGCACTGTGCAGGCAGGAATGTTAAATATATATTTC